AAGATGCTGCTAATATCAGCTGAATGTACAAGTATAATACTATATCTTAGTATCCTTTTTGCAAGAACATTACGGTAAACTTCAAACTAAGCATCAAAATATTGCCACACAGGTTTTCAAATGAATAGCCGAAAGCCACAAAATAACAGGAAAAAAGAAAAAGGAAACCTGCAAAGTGGAGAACTCTGAGGCAATTTTGTCCGGAGAGTGACACCTTTTCTGCTTAAATGCTTTAAGTGCTTCCAAACAGTGACTACGCTGATCAGGCGACAGTACGATTCTCTGTAGAACTGAATCAGCAGAGAAATCCAAAGATTTATTAGCAGTACCAGGAGCAACAGGTGGCGGCTCTGTGAAAGTGACAGCGGAGGATAACGGATTACCGGCGGCAGCCATGGCCGATCTCCGGCTCCGACTCCGAACTGATACGGCGCTGCCCGTGGTTTCGACTTTTTTTGTTCTTTTTTTTTTCCTTTTTGGTTCACGAGTGTGCTGCTGTCCCGCGAGGGAAATCATCGTGTCACCTGAATTTATTTATATATTACTGCAATGTTTTCTATTTTTTTTTAATATGTTTAAAAATAAATAATTTTTTCATTTTTTGGCAATATTTTAATTTTAATTTTTTATGTGGCATGTTTAAGATCATAATATTAAAGGATATTTTGATACATTTGACATAACTTTAAATTAGAACTACAGGATTAAAAAGCTTTCTTTTCTTAAACTCTGTTCCAAATCAAACTATGTCAATCTTTTTAAAACGGATGAAGTAGTATAAAAGAAACAGAAATATGAAATTAACTCGTACCAAAACTTGTTAAAATATGACAAAATTTTACTCCCTCTGTTTCACAAAGAATGACATGGTTTGACTTAACACGGAGTTTAAGAATATAAAGAAGACTTTTGAATCTTGTTATCACAAAGAATGACCTGGTTTGACTTGACACAGAGTTTAAGAATACAAAGAAATTTTTGAATCTTGTGTCCTAAATTAAAGTTAGGTCAAATGTACAAAATTCTTTGATCTTGTGGCCTTAAACATGTCACGTGGAAAGTTGAAACTGAAATGTAACCAAATTAAGAAAGAAATTATTCTTTTTGAAACAAAGAGAATATATAATATCTAATTATTAATTTAAATTAAATATTATAATCACAATTTTATTTAATTAAGATCTGTAAAAAAAACTATTGTCATTTGTTTCTCTCCTTGAAATTCTTGTTCGCCACTCTCCCTCTCTCAATTTATACAAACATAAATGTATAAATTGTGTTTATATTTGTATAAAGCGAGATAAAAATCGTATATACACATGCAAATACTTATATCTTCTTCTTATACACTTATAATTATACAATACAAATTTTCTTTTGCACAATTCTCTTTTGTCTTTCTCTCTTTCTCGCTTTATACAAACATAGATTATACAAAGTACAATGTATAATTTGTATTTGTGTAAAGCGAGAGAGGGAGAGAGAGATTGATAACGTTTTATTTCGATTCAATTGTATGCAAATTCAAATTTTATGCAAATATATAAATACATAAAAATGAATTGAGAGGTTGTCAACGATTATATGCAAACGAGAGACTATCAGTGATTTATACAATCTGGTTCTCCATAGAAAACATAAAGTTTGTTATAAAGAACAATTATGCAAACTATATTTATAACATACAAACATAATTTTTTATGTTTGCTAAATGTGAAAGTTGTTCAAATATTATTTATTTTATTTACAAATTTAATTAATCACTTAAAATGGATCTTATTGGGTACTAAATATTGATAAATAAATTAAAACGATGATTAAAATTTAATAGAAATTGAACGAATTGATTTATGATTTACATTTTAACCTATTTCAACTTAATTTGTTTCGGTCCAAGTAGCTTTTGGATTGATCAATAATAAGAAACTTTTATAAACTAATAAAACTATGTAAAATAATCATGCTTCATAACTAGGCATAATACATAAGCATAACCCTAAACTTGATTTCAATAAAATAATTATGCCCTCCAACTTTGAATGTGCACGAGCAGTGAAATTATTGAAAGAGTTTATCCCAATTCCCAACTTCCCCTAGACTACAATTAATGGGAAATTACAGAATTTCTAAAAGACAAGAAAAAGAAGAAGACGAAGTATTATAAGAAGACTTGCGGCACAAAACAAAAACAATATGTTCTTCTTCCTCTTTCTCTGCCAGAACAAGGCAACAAGCAGCAAGCAAATACACAGGTATCTTTTTTTCTCTTATTTCTTCTTACTTTTTAGTTTTTAGTGATTTCATTAAAATTGTTGATGCTTCAATACTTCATACTTCTTTTTATATTTATAGAACAATTTAAAATAATTGAAAATATTGGACACTTGTCCTTGACTCCTTATTTAATGACTTATGGTGTCTTACCTTTAAAAATGATTCAAAAAAAAATTAACACCTGTAAATTGTAATAGGATAATGACAAAGAGATATAGTCATAGTGGTGGACCGTGTATGTATATGTAGTTGTTGTATTTTATTATTTGCTTGCATGCAGAATTCTTTATATTTTTTTTTATAAAGAATATAAATGAGATTATAAACAGACATAGAGAAAAATTCTTCAAGAGTTTCATTACTTATGAAGGAAGTTGAGTTGACAAATGAGATTATAAACAGACATAGAGAAAAATGGAACTTTCATTATGGCAGATGGTCCGACAGATAAAATATTTTGGTGAACTCTTCACATGGAACAATGTTTATTGAGTCTATTAATGCTTCCTCACTTGTTAAGACCGAAGAGAAGTTATGTGAATTGCTAGATAGATATGTCGAACGCGTTGGAGAACAGAATGTGGTTCAAACTGTAAGTGATAATGGTAGCAACTTTGTGTTGGCTGGTAAGATTGTCGTTTTATATTTTACTTTCTAAAATCGATCAAAGTTTTAATTTCTAAATTTCAACATATCTATTTACCCTAGGGGTGGGCATTCGTTTTTTTGGTACGATTTGGTCAAGTTTCAATTCGGTTCTTTGGTATTCGATTATAGAAAAGTGTGCATCATAGTTTATAGCAAACTAGATTGGTTTGGTTCAGTTTTGTCTACTTCGATTCGGTTTATTTGATATTTTTAAATCAATTTTTTGGTGTGAACAAAAATAAAGAGGGAATATGATGAAGTGTTAAGAGTTCATCATGTATTTAATAAAAATAAAGAGGGCATAGATGATTTTTTAGCAAAAATGCCAAATAATTTGTTTTTGTTTCTTAGCAAGCACGATGGCGAAATGAACTTTCGAACAACCAAAATATAAGGACTCACAATGTACAACTGTACATAAACAACAATAGTTCAACACTTTATTGACATTACATTTGTTGTCATTTAAAAATTAAAATTTTAAATGGGTCATGTAAATATTTTGAGTCAAAATTCAAAAGTGTATAACTATTATTAATTAAGCGATATAATTTAAATATTTTAAAATTTAGTAAATAAAACTTCGGTTCTTCGATACACCGTAGTTTCGGGACCCTTACACTAAACTTCGAAACGAAGAACCGAAATTCCGAAAAAAAGAAAATCGATACCAAATCAAAATTGAAGAACCAAAATTTTTCGATTCGATTAAGTTTTTCGGTGTTTCGATATTATGTCCACCCCTAATTTGCCCTTTTTTCTATAGGTGAATTGTTACAGAGAAAAAGAAGATATATTTTGGATGTCATGTGTAGGTCATTGTATAGATGTTATGTTAGAAGACATAGGAAAGATTTCTATCATCAAGAAGGCCCTCCAAAAAGTAATTGCCCTAGCGATTTCATTAATGAACACTCATGAGTCTTAAATATGATGAGAGATTTCACTACAAGGAAAGAGTTGGTGAAATATGGCGATGAATTTTCTGACTTTGCAATGGTTGCATTGTCAAAAAATAAATCTACGAGCAATGCTTACATCTGACAAATGGGTGATTAGTAGGCGGACTAAGTTACCAAGGGGGAAAACTGCAATACATATTGTCTTTTGACGACATCATTCTGGAGTCAGTTTCTAATATTTTGAAGATAATGGGACCTTTTCTTAAAGTGTTGCGGTTAGCTAATAATGAGAAAAAATCAGACGGGATCTGTTTACACCAAATTTGGATCTCCACATAATAATAATAATAATAATAATAATAATAATAATAATAATAATGTATAAAGAGATTTTTAAAAGAATGCAAAATATTTTTAATTATTTATTTTTACTTGATAAATTTATCTCATAAATGTTATTTCTTTTATATATATACTAGATAGAGCATGGCCGTGCAAAGCACGACCCAACATTAAAGGATCATAGGAGTACGATCCAAGGGCTCGAGCCTCGATGGATAGTAAGGGAAGGGTGGATCATTCAAAAAAAAAAGTTGGGTCAAGTTAGACAAGTTATTGCATGATCGATTTAATTCAAGTAACTTTTGATTTTAATCCAATTTATTTTTATTAATCTAGCCTATTTGAACTTGTCCAATTCCAATCTAATCGGTCCATTTGAAACCTATCTACCTGTTTTGTAAATTGCTAGCTTGACTGCTTGATTAGGCTGCACACTTGAGTTACTTTTAAGTTGTTTATTTATGATATTTGATTACAAGCTTATCTAATACAATATATATATTAAATTAAATGAATAACCACACATACAATGCATTTTTATAATAAATATAGTATAATAAAAATATATTAAATGAAATATATTACGTTATAGAAATGTGCATATCCTAATAATTACTTTAATTTGAGAAATGAATAGATAACTGTTTATAGATTATTTAGGACTCAGAGTCTATGTCCCGCCGCCCTCGCCCCTATCTCTAAAGCCGCTAACTTCGGTACCCGGGGCATTTCCCTCACATGCTGAAGCAAGAAAGCCCCTGTCTTTTATGACATTTATAAAGAAAGTGATTTGGAATGATCCATCATCCAACATGCCAAAACCAATGTTCTAATCTACTTTAAAAGCTGCACGCCGTCTCTTATGATTCTCAACAACTTTACGATAAAAAACATCTGTTCTGGTGTTCGCTTTTCTGTTTCACTGTCACCAAACTGTAACCTATATGATTTACTTGATTTGTATTTTTCAAAGAACTGGTTATACCATGTTTCAGGTAAATCATCAAGCTTCAACCTCTGAGACATTGTATCAGATTCTGACTCGCTATATCTCGATCCAACACCAAAACTTGACTTAGATTGGACCTGGAAAAAAGCAAGAAATGTGAGTCATGCTAAATATTAACAGAATAAAAAAATGCAACCAAACAAGATCATGGATTTCAGAGCAGTAGCCATCTCCACGGCTTCAACTTATTTTCTCCCACAGCAACCATACAAAATGAAACATTAATCTATACTCCACTATCTAGCGAGTTTTTAAGAGTTAAGAGAAAAGTGATACATGTAACAACAATAGTACCACCCTTTTCCTGTCTCCCTACCTTCATGAGTCAAAAAACTATTGATTGAATGTTCTCCAGTTCCCATTCATACTAACAGTAAGTCATCAATTTTAGAAAAAGTAATCCTGTTCCAGCTGTGGTTTTTCACCCCCAAGTATCGTGCTTTACATAGTTCTTTCAGCATCCAATAAACTAATATGACCACTAACTTCCTATCGTAGTTACTGTTCTGCTACTATTTGTTGTTTTTGTTACTATCTAGTCTATTTCATATACTACTTATTCCGGAATGCTTTGGACTATTTTTCCCTTGAGCAGAAGGTCTATCAGAAACAAATTCTCTACGTAAGGTAGGAGTAAGGTCTATGTACACTCTGCTCTCCTCATATCCCACTTTGTGGACCAAAGTGGATATGTTATTGATGTTGTTGTATGAACATTACCTACTAAAGTTAATAATTTCACATGAAAGAAAATATCTTTCACCTTAGATAACACAGTGCTTGTACCAGAGACACCTTCACGCTGTTGAGCCCCATCTTGCGAACAATTGTCAAGTGTAAAATACACATCATCACCATGTAATTGCAAATCTGCAATTGCAAAACAATTAACCTAAAAAACTAATTAAAACGCACATTGCAATTCAAATGCTTATGAAAGTTCTTACAATTTGGATTGAACTTCGGAATTACGGAAGCAGTGTGAATTGACGACGGCGGTTTATCGGATCGGAGGAAGAGAGAAACAGATGTTTTATCAAACGGGAGAGCACGAACACGAAGCTCTAGGTGAATCTGAACCCTAGTTTTTGCATCGTCTGTTCTCATGAAAGAATCCCAAGTAGAGGGAGAAGAAAGAAGGTGAATGAAACTGTTATACAGTGAATCGCCGAGCCATGAACACCAGGGAAAAAGACCAATTAATTACTGCATGTGAGAAAATACAACAAAAATCTGAATCTGAACAATTTTTTACAATTCAAAGTAGAACATGAAAAGCATAATCACTCAACCAAAATTGAAAACACGACTATTGAAATTATTGGTACTTCCAAATAATTCAACATCAATAACAAACCCAAATAAAAAAAAATAAACAAACATTCACACACACCCAGATCAATTTGGAACTTCAACTTTAAATAAAAGGAAAATAGCACAAAAAAAACTCAATTGAAATATGAAAGAACCTTACATGGAGAATGCTGAAGTGAAAGAATAGAACTTGTGCACAGAAGGTGGAGCATGAATGAAGATTACAAACAACATACTGTATACATTGATAACATAGAAGAAAGACACGTGGGGAACTGAAAAGACAAATCGATAGCATGGGAAGAAGACACGTAGTCACAATAGAGAATGAGAAAGACAAAAATACCTTGAGAGCAATGAAACAGGCATGTTGAAACAAGCCTTTTCTAATATAAGTAATATATATATATATATATATATATATATATATATATATATATATATATATATATATATATATATATATAGATAGATAGATAGATAGATAGATAGATAGATAGATAGATATATTACTTTTTTTATAATAATAATAATAATAAATGTCGTTCTTAAAAAGTGAATCTATTTTTCTTTGTTCAAATATAGTTTCTTTTGTCACAATAGATATTTTTCGTATATTTATTAAAATTTAAAATCTTAATTAATTAATGAGTTACTAATTTATATTAAATTTAGGAGTAACTAATTTGATCAAATAAGTTAATCTTGTAAAATAATCATGTTTAATTTAATAAATTATGACTATTTAATAAAGAATATATTATAATTTAAATAGTTATAATTTTGAGCAATTTTCGCAATTCATGTCTCCTTTAACCGATCAATTTTTGTTTGCCACATAGGAGAGCACATGGATTGTACTTCTTTAGAATCGTCTAACGGTCCTAGTTAATTCAGTTTATATATATATATATATATATATATATATATATATATATATATATATATATATATATAAACATTTCTTTTAACTTCTAATTTATTTAATCGTCCGATCAAACAATCGAACAACCCAAATTAATCAAGACCTCTTTACCTCACTAAGGATCCCAACGTTTCTCCCCTTACCCATAGAGAAAAAAGTGTCCGCTTCTTCCTTTTACCCCATAAAAAAGTACAAGCCGCCAACTTTTTCCAACATTGCACGCCTCCTTCTTCCTCATGCTAGTTGACCTCTCTATTCAAGAGCGTTCCTGGACCACCGAAAAATCACATTATCTAGTAGTCTCCAACAACATCTACTCCTCCATCTCCTCACAACTTCTCCTCCTTCCCTAGGCGTTCCTCTTCCCCTATGCCCCATCAGTTCTTCGTCCCATCAAAGAACGACCATAGACCGTCGAAAAACAATAATTTCTGGTGTCCCTTGCTTATATCTCATCAATCATTCATTTTTCTGATGAAAAAAGAGTCTACGCCGCCTATGCCTTATCCTAACGGCATTGGAAATCTGAAGAGTTGGTGTTGATTTGATTAAAGTTGCATCCTTTGTCCCCAGCAGAATCGCGAAGCTATCGCACCCCCTATTCTCGAACCAGTGAAAAACAGTTCACAACATAATCTAACTGACACTCTGATTTTTTGAAAGATATTTCGTTTTAGAATCGCCACCTAAATTTTAAGGAAAATATTAGGAAAACCATTTTTATGTAAATGTAAACTCTGTTTTGATTTGCGAAACCAGTGAGATTCTGAGCAAGAGTTTTTGTTACTCGATGAGAAGATGTTAAGCACCCCAGGGAGCCTGTTCGAACATAGTCCTTAAACTCAATTCAGGAAAATATAATTAGAAAAACATGTTTATTTATTCGCTTTAAAATCAACGGTGAGTAAATTTTATTAGTTTTAAGAAAAAGAGTAAAACACAAGGTACGACATATATACGTCCATTAAAGAAAAATTAACATTAGTATGCTTATCACACTATAAAAATAAATAAATAAACATACTAAAATGTATGATAATTTTATATATTGAAAAATATAGAGGTGTCCTATATAAATGTATCCAAAATAAATGTTGAGTTCAAAAGATATGAAAATTTGTCATTTTATTTATATATAGAATTTAGATGTAAAGGAAAATAAAACAAATAAGATAATTGTCGGGTGTGAATATATAGTAAAATAATGTGTACATTAGAGTATATAAATTTATAAATTATAAAAATAAAATAAGGATCATTTGTAAAAGTGATAGTAGATATGAGAAAAACAATGTGAAAATAATAAGTTATGTATATAGAAAACTAAAATATAGAATTTATATGTTTTTGCATATGACATATATATGTACATACCTTGTATTTTGAACTCATTGACATATCTAAAATCCTTGAAAATAGCATGTTAAGAAATTAAATGTTTTATTAATATCTAGAAAAAATAGCAAATATATTTCATAAAGAGGTGATGTCAAGAGTATAAAATGGATCTAACTATTGTGACTTATTCTATAGTTATATTTATTTTTTGGTAGATATATGAGCCTACTTTCTTGTTTGTTAAATAGTATTTCTAAAGAGTAACTTTTGTCAATAAATAATGAAAAGAAAACAAAAAGAAAACTATATTAGTTTGGGAAATATTGAAAGGTGTAAAAAATATATAAGTGTAACACATATATACGCCAATTTGACAACATTCAAAACGCGTCCTAATGTAGAACCTTTTTTTGCCTAAGGTAGGCCTATGTTGCAATCATTTAGATAATAAATTATACATTTAAACACATTTTAGATTTTGGAGAAAACACAACATCATTGATTGAAGTAGTCTTGAATGTTACATTGAGGTAGGAAATCAAAAACCTAAGAAATGAAAGTACGAGGGGGGGGGGGGCATAAGGCACAAGAGGAATATGCCACATGGCAATTTGAAGAGCTTATGAAAAAGGTTCAAAGATGAATCTAGGCCAGGTTGGAGCATCATCTTCGTCATTATCCCCATCATAATATGGACTTGGGTGGTACTTTGGAGATTGTTGGGGCCACGCTCGAATGATATGTCTATAACATCTCCATCTATTGGGTCATAGATATTAGATTTTGCCTCAGAAACCTCCATGTGATATTCCCACACTTCTTCATCCAGGTCATCGTTGGGTACCTCCTCTGGATCCTCTTCAGGGTCTTCTTCTAGGTTTTCTTCAGGATCCTCCTCCGGGTCCTCTTTAGGTTCCCATTCTTGGATCTAATAATTGATGGATTTTGGGACTATCTGGTTAAGCATGGGTGTACTGAACGCTATGTGAGAAAACACCGATTCTCTAATCCAATCAATTTGTTGTCTATCTACAAACTCCCAATGCCCGTGTGCACTTGGATGAGCCATATGACTCAAAGGATTTCGCCAAGCGTAATACTATGGCATCCACCAACTTTCTTCGCCTATTTCTAAATCGATTGCATAGTCCCACTGGACTTGTAGATTTCTTATTCGATCCAGTGAAACTGAGGTGAATGCATCTTCACTAGATCCCATCATTGTCCATAGTATAATATTTTGGATAACTCCCAATTGTCGCATAACACGGAGAGGACATATGATTGAATACCCCTGAGCCCAATCAACTCGATAAAGAAAAGGCGTCGAGTCTTTGCGTACGCCAATCTTGTTAGCCAGGAGAATTTCCATTGGATGGTGTCTCCCGTGAGGTTATTTAAAAATGTGTGTCCATTCTTCCCATCCTACTGGCGCACCATCCTAATTTTAGAGATGATCGTCGTGGCTTTCGATCTTGTTCGGAGTACTCATGTAGTAATCTATTTGTGTATTATGTTGATAGAAATGTTTCCTTGCCCAAATCTGAAACAATATACAACATCCTCTGAAGAAATTATGTGCCTGTCCAAGCACCAATCCACCAAAAATAGACTAACATATGCACCAAGACCACACCTAAATCTCGAAGCTATAAATGCTCAAGCTTACACACCCATTGCTAAACCTTATGCCCAATTTTTGAAAGATTGAGGACAGCGGAAATGTTGCAACCAGTTGAAGGGACACTTTCTAATCCAATCTCTCGTAATTTTGATGGAAACAAGTGATGCGCTTACCACTCACAAGTCCAAGGGCACGACATAGAAGATTGTTATGGTTTGAAGAACCAAGTCGAGTCTTTGATTAGGAGAGGAGTAATCAAATGCACTCCAGCACCTCCAAATGTAACAACAATCCCTTTCCAAACCATGAGAATCGGGAAGTCAACATAATTACTCTAGATGAAGAATATGGAGGCCCTGACTGTCCAGACATAGATGAACCAAATGTCATGACATCTTCGGTGCAACCCGTTATCACTGTTCAACTAAGAGAACCTATGACTGTCCAAACATATTTCCCGAGAATTGTAGTGACTACTATTGCTAGAATGGGTAAGTATGACACCAAAGCAGTCCCTTGGGACTATCAAACAGGCGTCAAAGGCAAAATGATTCACACTGTCGTGGCTTAAGGAATGACTAGGTCGTGGAGGTGCTATGCCCCAGTCCCCAGAGGATCTAAATCAACGAATTCTCAAAAAATAACAAAATAAAAAAATTGTTACTGATGCTGAAGTCGCAGAGTTTTGGAAGAAGATGCAGTCTAAAGATTATTAGGTCGAAGAACAGCTGAAGAATACGCCAACCCACATATCCATTTGGTCTCTGCTTATGAATTATGAATCTCATAGGAATGCTTTTATAGAGGTTTTAAGTGGAGTAATCATTTCAAAAGAGACTACAAGTGAAACCTTAGTTTTATCGATTGGAAGTATAGTAAAAGCTAACAAGATCTCTTTCCACGATGATGAGTTGCGTGTAGAAGGGGCTGGCCACAACAAAATGCTTCACATTACAGTCAAATATTATAATAAGAATATGACTCGAGTCTTAATTGATGGTGGTTCTGGATGAAATATTTGACCGTTCACCACTCTAAGAGATTTAACTGTTAATATGGCAGAAATAAGGGAAACTCATGTGAAAATTAGAGCTTTTGATGGAGCACAAAGAAGTGTCATCGGAGAGATCTATCTCACATTGCAAGTAGGGTCGGCCGAATTTCCCATTCTATTTCAAGTGATGGATGTATCATCCAACTACAACATGTTTTTGGAAAGACCATGAGTTCATATGGTAAGAACAATTCCTTCCACTCTCCA